GGAAAAGTGGCTTTATTCAAAGCACCAAAAGTGATTAATCTCAAGATAATATTAAAAATATTATAACAAATTTATTAACAAATAATTCATTATTACATTTGTGTAGTTTTTAAATAATATTTGAAAAATGTTATATTTTTATTTTTTGTGTGTAATATAGAAGTAATTAGTTTTATTTTTTTTNAAAAATTATAGACAAATATTATAAAAACACGTTTGTGATGATGATTTTATAAAAGTATTTAATAAACATGTATTACATGTCGTTTACTATTAATTCATCTGAAAGATATATAAATATTCATATCATATTTTATAAGACACTTAAAAATTGATTAAAAAAATATGTCTTACAAAAGTGTTCTAAATATTTGCAAAATAAATATGAAATAAAAAAAACTTTCAGTTGATTACAATTTATTCTTACAATTAATCTTGGGAGAACAATTTTGTGATTAACTTATGTAACATTTTTATTGAATGTATAAAAATTTAAAAATTAATTAATACTAAAATATTGGGTTATTAGGTTTAAATCATCAGATTACAATTTGATATCGGATATTACATTGTTCTCATATATTACTTTTTGTAAAAATTTGAAAACATTACCATTAGTATGAAAAATAACTTGTTTAAAAATGATTAAAATAATTGCTTATTTCTTTAACTAATTATAAATATTAAATACTGTTTAAAAAAAAATAAGTATACGTATATATTTATTCTTATTAAATAATTATAGGGTTCAAGCATGTTGGTACAATACTTCAACTCGTTGCAAAAAAGTACTCGTCTTAATAATGATGCGATCCTCAAAACCGTGCGAAATAACAGCAGGAAGTATGATTACTATCTCAATAGAAACGTTCAGTTCGGTAAGACTACGAGATACTTATACAAGATATCAACAACAAATTTCAACTTTCCAGTATTTTTTTGTTTCTATTCAAAGGTAGTACGAACGTCAATGTCTTATTTCACTGTATTGCAATCAATGAAATGAACGAAGATAACTTTGAAAATAACAAATAGTACATATAATAGTATTTACTATCTCTAGCTATGAGGTATACAAAAATTATATAATTTATTAATGAATAATATAACTGTGATAAAGCATATTTTAATTTTAACTTTTCTATATTTTTTTTGTTTGTTTTTTATTCAAACGTAATACGAGTGTAATTTTTTTATTTTATTTTTTTAATATATTATATACATTAATAATATAATAAATAATTATTAGAATTAATATAATAAATAATTATATCAATATAATATTATTATATTATTTTTTAAATATAATGAATTTGAATTTTTCATTCAAATTGAAATAATGAACAATTTCATTTTATTATAATACTATTATATAATTTGAAATGTAATTAAAATAACAAATTATATAATTGATCAATTTATAAACATAACTTTCAGATATTAAATTTAAATATATATTGAAAATATTATAATATATTACATTTTTGTAGGAACTACATTTACTTTTTCTTTCTATCTTCTGAATTCTTTTATTTTCTAATATACTTCGTGTCTCATATGAACAAAAATTACTTTCATACTTCTGTACACACGTGAGTTCTACGAATAAAAGAGAATACATCAACTAGATCCCAGTGAACACAATTACGTCAAAATGATTTTGCGCGATGTCATGATTTACGTAAGATATAAGTCAGATATGAGTCCCATGTGACTCATTATTTCACACTTATTGACGTAAGACTTTTACGTAATAAATATGACGTTAAGTTGACCTGACGAAACAAAAGAACAAAAAAGCAATAATGTCATACATATGTCTAGTTGTTGCCGAATTTCTTACTAGTATATGACGTATAATTTTTTTTTTCACCCCCGGGATTTGAACTCGGGAACATACGATTACTGGATGGACATTACTACTGGATGGTGATTTGCCTCACTGAGCCATGCGAACTTGTGATAATTTTTATTATATTACTAATCCATATATAATTAACAATAATATAAATTATAATTAACACGTTCCGTGTCACGTGTACCACCGGTGGTACAATAGCCATTAGACATATTTATTTAATGCACTGAAAATATATACTTATAAGGTGACTTACCGTCACCGTTTTTTTTAATACACATTAGGGCGGGTCAAAAAAATTGGGTTCCTAGACACCTTAAAAGAATTCTCACCCAATATGCGCTCTTAATTTTAATAGGAAGATCCTCCGCATCGCAGTTTTTTTTCTATTCAATAGATTAAAATTCATATCTCATTATTTATTGATTGTACAGAAAAATGTTCATTACAAATTTTGTAGAAAATTTAATGCTCTACAAAAAAAGGTATCTTATATTTTTTCCGTAAACCTCACAATTTGAATGATATTTAAGATTTAAGTTTGATTATTTTCAGACAAATTTCTTTTTTTTTGTGTGAATTTTATAACTCGATAATAAATGACTATTATAAAATGCGCAATACAA